CCTAAAAAACAGTAGGGAAAATAGAAACATAACCTATGTATAAATCAAGCTCTTGGGTAATATTTTGTTAAATGGCAAAACTTGGGTAGTTTTTGTGTTGTGTTGAAAATACAATTATAACGTGTTTTCATTATAAAACAGCACTCGTTATTTGTCCTTGGAAAAAAGTAATTCGGCTAGTTATAACTATAAACAGTTGGCATTTTGAAACCATTCACCAGAAATGCTAAGGAGAAAGAGACCATGCCTACAAGTTAGCTATGCACAAGATTAACATATTGAGAAACAAAATGGAGACACCGATGATGATGCATGATTATACTAACAAAAAGATTTTTCAAATCCACCACGCATTTATAACAGACGGAACATATCCACAAAGTACTTGATGAAGAATTCGATTTTAGATAGTTACATGGACTAAGTTGTAACTTAAACATGGATTTGCATAGTCTATTGAGCCAAAGCACTTGTGTTGTAGACTAGAAGTGCACCACCAGCTAGAAGACCAGCTAGAGTTACAGCCCAGATAGCCAATCCAGTCGTACCTGCATAAATTAAAAAATTAAAATAAAAGTTAATTCCTACATTAACTAAAACTTATTTATAATTTCTACAAATTAATTTACACAATTAATTTATAATTTATGAAAAAATTATTTCTTTTTTTCTTTTATAAATACTTCCATAGAAGTTGATCCAATGCTACTTTTTCATGTTGAATGTCAAATTTAGGGCATTTTAAAGTTGATGAAAAGTTTGTTACCGCCAGCGTAGACATCACCGGTTGGTGACCATTCCTTGGTGTCGTAGATAGGACTGCATAATAAATCAGGCAAATGGAATTTGAATGAGAAGCTTAATTTCTATCCAAATGAATGATAATATTTAAAATTAAATCATTTATATAAAAGCTAAAATATTAATTCATATAATATAGATCTTATTACCTGTACCCATCGACATTAGCACCATATTTGTCCACATACTGGTAAACACCCTTTCCCTGAATTCATGTTTGGAAGTTAGAAGAATAGTATACTAAATTCAATACTACCTACAATCTTAGAAGTTTTATGTTTAAACTTTAAACTACTTCTATCTCCTAGAAATTCAACATCATAAGGAATGGAATTATTTTATTAGACTCCTTAATCAGAGAGACTCTAATGTTATGTATTAAACTAACTAACGAATTCAAAAGCTTAAAGCTGCTAAATATTGCCAGTGATTTTATATTATTCCATAACAAGAAAAAGAAGAAATTCCCATGTTCAATTAATTATAAGTTTATAACTATGACAATGAATTTAAATTAATATTTTTTTTCCTTATATGCCGTCAATATGATACACATACATAACAAATCATGAATATATTGAAATATTAATGGTTGATTTTCTTATCAACAACTAAAATTACTTTTTTTTTAATCATAGGAGATACATTAACATCATAAATACACATAAAATGAATATTCTCCATATGTTCCCTTACTACAACATATGTTAATTATGTAGCAAAATTTGATGCAATATGGGTAAATTAAATAGTCACAAAGGTCCAAACCTTTCCTTTCCTGCCAGATGCATCAACTCCATCCCTCAAGTTCATGCCACCATTAATTCCTGCAAACATCCACACAAAATTAACAAAAGTGCTTATAAGTCTATTTGGATATAAATTTAGAAGAGTTTCTCAAAATAAACTCTATATATGTGTATTTTTACAAGGGCATGTTTGGTTTCTAACTAACCATAAGGCTTGTCAGTCTTGATCTTCTTGCCACCACTGGCCACAACTTTGAAGGAAGAGGAGTTCCTTGAAAGGGAGGGAAGCCCTCTAACTGAGGACTTGTCAAGAGTGAAAGGGGCAGGTTTGAGGGCCACAGAAGCCATCACTGAAGAGGCCATTGATGCTGCTAATGTCGATGCTAATGCTTCCTTCTACTATGCTATGGGAAACAACAAACAAGTGCATAAGATAATAATAATAATAGTGGCCAAGGATTTGTGATTGCTTTGGTGACACGTGGCATCGAGTTTGTGGCAGAGTGGGGGATATGATAATGTAAACATTATCCGAATGAGATCAATTTTTCAGCCCTTGTTTATGAACATGAGTGTGCAAACAAAATGATGAAAGAAACTTGGATATTCCTCCCACCAAATAAAAACAAGGATTTTTTTTCTTCTATTTTTTGTGGTGAAAAAAATAAAGGGAGTTTAACTCCAACATATATGTGATTTAAATTTAAATTTTTATAAATTAATTTAAATTTTTAGTTGATGCTTGTCCGAAACCTTGATTTTAAGGTTTGCATCTCTTCATTGAATTATCAGTTTTGACTTATTCTTAAACGTTAATAATTTTTATCCTTTACAATGTTCTTTGTATTTTTTGTTATCATATCACACAAATAAGTCCTGTAAGACACTATCTTTACAAGCTTCAAATTGATTTGTTAGCTTTGTCATGACAACCTACAAAGTCATATCTGTTGGACAAAAATGTTTTCTGAAATGTGTTTTATTTGAATAAAAGAGATAATCAGATGACATGATCAACTTCACAATTACAATAGATTTGGCCACCATCGAGTGTACTCAACACGTGTTTACCTTATTTTCTTTAATAATATATCAGTTTATTTATTAAATTCAAAATTTTAGCTTAAATTCACTTCATTTGATTCATAACCAAATTCAATAAACTAATTATCAAATTCAACTTTAAATTATTTTTAAGTTGGTTTGAGTTATTCTCAATCTTACATGCATATTCTGAAAAAGCATCATTCATCATATACTATAGCAACTATTTTGTATTATCTTGAACTTGTAATTAGTGATTTAATTTCAAATTTAACATCCTTACTTCTCAACATTCACAGGTGTGACCTAAAAAACATGCAGAGATATTTCATAGATCAAAACTTTGTTAAGAAAAGGGTTTTTCATCACTGGCGAAACTTGGAGAAAATATTTGGAGTGTCAAATTTTTTTATAGACATAAATTATTATTATTTAATTAAAAAAAGAAATAACAGAATTTATCATTTCCTCTACTTAAAACAAACATGTATGCTAATGAAATCCAAGAAAAAATACTATCATTTACTAGTCATTTCATAAAATAATTATAAAAAAAACTATCATTAAATATCAAAGATTACCTGGCATGAAGTAAGCCAAAGTAGTTGAAGTAAACTCCAAGATAAATTATACATTTGTCTCCTACTATATCCATAATAGTATAATTGCATAGTCCAAGCTACCTGTATTGTTAATTACTCTTAAAAGCAATTACTTGTTTACTAGGAGGAGTAAATGTTATTTTGCTGTTCATAAAGTAGAATACCTTGGTCATTTCATCTCTGGTTTAGGGGTATCTACAGATTTGAATAAAATAGAGGCTATGCTCAATTGGCCTCTTCCACAGACTATTAAGCAACTGAGAGGGTTTCTTGGTCTTGCTGGCTATTATAGGAGGTTTGTGAAAGGATATGGAGTAGTGGCAAAACCATTGACTGACATGTTCAAAAAAGATGGATTTAGTTGGACTCAAGATGCTAAATTGGCATTTCATAGACTGAAAGAATTGCTCAGTTGCATCCTAGTTTTAGCTCTTCCAGATTTTTCTAAAGTATTTGTGGTGGAAGTTGATGCATCGAGTTGTAGGATAGGGGCAGTTCTTATGCAGGAGCAGCACCCTATAGCTTATATCAACAGAGCCCTTAATCTACAACAATAGTCACTGTCTACATATGAGAAGGAATTGTTAGTCGTTGTCTTTGTTGTTCAGAGATGGAGACATTACCTTTTGAATAGACATTTTATTATCATAATTGATCATTATAGCCTTAAATATATATTGGACCAGAGGTTGTCAACTGATTTCAAGTAGAAATGGCTAGTTAAACTCATGGAGTTTGACTTCTTAATTGAATATAGAAAAGGGCAAGAAAATGTAGTTGCTAATACTCTTTCAAGAAGAGAGGTGGTTGAGTGCAGTAGTTTATGTACTCATCAATTATAATCTAAATTGATAGATAAAATTCACTTGTCATGGGTGAACGATATTACCTTATAGAAGTTGATCAAGGAAATAGAAGAGGGATCAATTGCTCACAAACATTATAAATGGCAGTAGGGCGAATTGAGGAGAAAGGGAAAATTAGTAATTGGTAATGATCCAACATTAAGGGATGATGTATTACAATGGCTACATGCTTCTGCTGGAGGAGGACATTCAGGAATCAATGCTACCATGAAGAGGGTTAAAGATGTTGTGTATTGGAAAGGGTTGATCAAAGATGTCAAGAAGTTCATCCAACAATGTTCAATTTGTCAGCAATGTAAATATGACATTGTAGCATCTCCTGGATTACTTCAACCTCTTCCTGTTCCTGAACAAATTTAGCATCATATTACTATGGATTCATTGAGGGTTTGCCTAGTTCATTTGGCAAGCAAGTGATATTTGTGGTGGTAGATAGGTTGAGAAAAGCTGCACATTTTATGGCTTTGTCTCATCCTTATACAATTAGTGACGTGGCTCAATCTTATATGGATAATGCGTTTAAATTACATGACTTTCTTAGTACCATCACTAGTGACAGAGACTCCATTTTTGTTAGTCAGTTCTGGCAAGATTTCATGTCCTTTCATGTTCTGGCAAGATTGCATTATTGTGTGGTATGCAAGGATCCTTCCCAATGTGTTTAAGAAAAGCACAATTCTTTCCATTATTAACTTTCCTCCAACTTTTAAAACCTATAGAAAAAAAATCAACAAAGTTAGAACCTGTTTATGCTAATCAACTCATTGCCAATTAGAATTCAAACTCAATCACTTATAGCAATGAAAGCATCTGAACCAGGGTGTCCGCTTGGTTTTTTACTAAAAAGATAGCAGGGCAAGCAATATGCAACATCTTTTGAAGGTGAATACTCTAACCATGAATAAAATATTCCAAACCAAGTGTGTTGAAATCTCCTTGGATGATCATCTTTACCAAGCAAAGGATAATTTTCTAGATGCATTTGATATGGACCCTATTTTAGATAAGCCATTCGTACCTCATCTATTTGATTTGGTGGGTATTGCCAAATTTAAGGCCGTTTTCCTAGATCACGTTCCAAAGAATTTTCAAATTCATTATATGTAATTCTACGAACCTTTGGGAGTTGCTTCTAATTTTCTTCAATTCTTGGATTCTTAAGAAATTTCTCAAGTTCACTTGACATACAAGTTGCATTTTTTTCATCTTTCTCACAAGCTTTTCTCTTGGAAAAAGAATCAATTCTTTTACTCTTTACATACTTTTTCTATGGATGCATAAGCAAATGGCGTATTCTCGATCTTTCAGTAATCCAACTTGAATAATTCTGCCACGCAATAGTAAAAAAGAGCAAAAGTAATTCTAATGAGTTAAAATTCATGAAAGTCAAGGATAACCAAAGTACCGATTGCTAATTTGCTATTTATATTTTCTTAACCTAAGTCAGAAAAGAAGCATTTGAGTATGGTAACCTGAAAAGCATAAAATAGAAAATCTTGAAGAAAGAAAGGCAACATCAGAGTTGAGAAGAAAAGAAAGAAAGAAAGAAAGAAAAAGCAATAGATAGAGAGACACATACCAACTGGATTTGGGGTTACGGTGAAGGTGAGGAGTCTACTAAGTTGTTCCCAACTCCTATATGCAACCTTGCAATTAGTCCGATTTGGTGGCAGCAAGTAAAAATCATAAGTTTTTATGTTATGGGGTTTTTGGAATCGTCATAGGTACAATGGGATGTTTGTAGCGTGTTCCAGAAGGCAAACCATTTTGGAGAATGAAATTTGAAAATAATAATATAAAAAAGTATATATAAAATTAATAATACAATAATATATAATTTAAAAATATAAAAAAGTATATATAAAAAAAATTGAGAAAAGTTTGGGGGAGTCGTGGCTCCCCCTTATCCTATTGAAGATTCGCCATTGTTTTTCATGACCACATTTGTATATCAACATGAGTTAAAGGCAACTGAGTTTCCAAAAATGTGAAAAGATGAATGATAATTCATCGTCTAATGCTACCCTGAAAGTGAAATATACAGTAATGCTCTATAAAACAAAATATTTCTTTCAAGATACTAACATCTAAGTGTAATGCTAGATATATACATGTCTACGACATGAAGAATAATAGTCAAATTAGAACTCCTATTTACACTAATTGATATAAAAAGTTTAGATGAGTTAAGTATCGAGAATTTATTAGAGTCAGAATAGCTCTCAATGTTTTATGAGCACTAACTGAGATACTTAGAGATTATCCACTAACAAGATTCTTACATCGACAACAAAAATTGATTTCACGTCTCTAAGATATAAAATTGTCCCTTATCAATTGGATCAACTTTTGTTAGTTAAAAGTTTTAATAACATGAACTTTTGTGTATACAAATGATACATATACATAGATGTAATCAAGATTGATACACTCTTTAGAAACAAGATGGAGAGAGACCAATAATGATGAAGATCCTACATGTTAAATAAGGCTATAATAATATATAAGTGATATAATAATCATTATCTTACAAGCTAATTTTATAAGGTTGAGTTTGACTTTAATCTACTTTTTAAAAATGATATTAGAATCTATTCTAATAAGTATTATTAATTTTATAAGGTTGAGTTAGATTTTAAGTTATTTTTTTTATTTTAAACTTTAAATTTTAATAATATTAAAATAAATTATTTTTTTATCATGTAAATTAAAAAAAAACTTGTATATATATATATATATAAACTTAATTATTAATTTATTTAAAATTAAGTTTATTAACCTATTTAATGTTATTAATGTATTGTAAATTTTTAAATAAAGTAATAAGTCAAGTTAGACTTTTAAAAATACTAGACCATATGTATAAAATAAAGTCTATAAATAATAATAAATTAAACTTAAATTTTAATTTTAATATATTCAAATTTTGGTCTAATCTAACTTATATTTTTACTTACAATAAAAATGTATTACATAATTATTTAATGAAAATTTTATTTGAAGGGTAAAATTATCTTATTAAAAATAAAAATCAAGTAACTAAATGAGAAAATAGCTCACTTATATATTGTTATATTATATATTATATATGTACATCAAATATAAAATAAAAATTTATTAATATCGATATATCTTATATCTTTTGTTCACAAGTAGTACATTTTTGTTAAAATAAATTTCCTCAAAATTCTTAGTTCATCAAGCAAAAATTCCTGCCAGTAACTGAATTTTACATTTTCATTAATTTCCTAAAATCCCTCCATAATTCAATATTAAAAATAAAAACTGGACATTTAAAAACCCTGCTTCAAACTTTCCCAATACCCGAATCAATGGCTTCTCTTATTCGAACGGGATTTCGAAGAACATGTATCTGTTCCTCATCGCAAATTGGAACCCTAAGATCAAAAAACGCACTTTCCTCCATCTCGCGTTTGGGGAACACTACTTTTGCGTCCCAACCACAACCTCTGACCAAATCGCCTTTCCATTCCAACATGCTACGAATACTCCGAAACGAAATCGTGTACCAATACGAGTACGCTCCTCCACACCAGGTTAACAACAAAAATTTCCTAATTCGTTCCATTGTTTCTAATCATTGCTTACTAATGTAGTATTGTTATGTGTTTTTCAGCCCGAGGCTGAATTCAAATCGTTTACGGTTGAGGAGCGACGTGGGGAGCAAGTGGTTACGATAAAGGGCAAGTTTGGGGAATGTGAGGATATTAAAATTGAGGCTACCATGTTTGATGGGTGTGAACATGTTCCTGCATGTGATGATTTCAGTTCTGGGGTGAATGTGCGTCTTCACCTTAGTTTAATTGTGGATATATCAAAGGGGGAAGGTGGCAGTGAGTTAGAGTTTGTGTGCTCTGCGTGGCCGGATTGTTTGAATGTTGAAAAAGTTTACATGTTAAGGCGGGGCTGTATGCCGGCTAGGCCTTACATTGGACCTAACTTCAGGTTTGGAGAATCATATTGACCATTTGAGAAATGTTAGCAACACATTCTGTGAGACACTCGAACAAGCGCATTCTCTTTGATTGGTTGAAATTTATTGAAAAACACAAAATTTGGTGGTTGCAACTCTATTTAATGACTCTCTTGCTGGTTTTGTAGTTTTCAAAAATCTTTAACCAATGAGAGTGAGTGTGTTAGAGAGTGTGTTGCTATCACTTCTGAAACTATTTTGATTTTGTTTGTTGTTCATTGGCCAAAGGTTTCTTGTTTATTGTGTCGCTTACAAGGTTTTAAAGTGTGGTCGCGGTTTTGTCTTGATCGTGATTGTTGGTATTGTGGAAAGTTACAATCAAATGTAGCTACCATTGAGGTTGTGGAAGCCAAGGTTTTTAATTGCAGTTGCGTTTTGTCGTGATTCATATCATTGCAAGGAATTGACGACAAATGCAGCCGCAATTGCAGCTGAAATTGCAGTCGTGGACAGTTTCTTAAAACCTTGGTGGAGGCACATAAACCTTGATGTTGTGGTTGTGAACTGTTTCTTTTAACACGAGTTTGAATTGATGAGGAAAACTCGTGAAATGCCCTAGTTGATTTGATGTTATTTGGTTACTTGAAGTTGGTTTGTTAGTGATTTTTGTGTTTTGGTTTTTGATTGCAGGGACCTGAATGCTAAAGTTCAAGAAAAGTTTTATGACTACTTGGACGCAAGGGGAGTGAATGATGAGCTTGCGGATTTCTTGCACAAATATATGATGAACAAGGATAGAATTGAGCTTCTGCGTTGGATGGGTAGTCTCAAGTCTTTTGTGGAAAGATAGAGATTGATAAGCTTGGTGTTTGGTAATTAAGAATTGATATTAACACTGAGTTTTGACGTTGTAGGGATTAGTTTCTCTAGCAGCCAATCTGATTTGTATTATTTGGTATTGATTATTTATTTGATTTGAACAAACCAATGTTGAGCATTATTAGGCAAGGGTTAATAATGGACACTCTGTTTCCTTTTGTGGTTATATGATAAATGAATGATGAAAGATAGAGTTGAATTTATACAGTGGATGGATAGTTTCAGGTCTTTTGAAAAGTTGACAGGTAAATCTAGGAAACTAAGTGTTGATGTAACTAAACACTTCCAAGTTTTGCCGCAGTTGGAATTAATTTCTCCTGTAAAAGTTCATTTGATGTGCAGTGTTTGCAACATTTTCCTTGTCTGTTAACAATCGGATATAACTACTTGTCATTGCCATTGGCGCTACTGGTAGTATCAGGTTATCACCGGTTCTATCACTTTCTATTAAAAACAAATAGGAAGATCAAGAATTGCTTTTCAGTTTAGTTGCTTCTGTTTTGGAATCTTCGTCTTTTTGTTTGGGATAGTTAGTTTCAAAACACCACCATATCATCTACCTCACCACGTTAAAGCTAAAGTCGTTCCAGGTCTGAGATCTTCTTCTCAAGCCACCACTACCACATCTTTTTGTCTTGCTAAGCAAATAAGTTATTGATAATGATTGTCTTGATTGAATCCAAAGGTACTCAAACCCCTTTTGCAGGACTAGTACTTGCTAGCAATAAAAATTAATGGATGGAAAAAAAAGTTTAAATAATTTTTTCTTTCTTTAACTATTTTATAATTCAACTTTTAGCCCCCCAATTATTTCTTTTCCACTTTTAGTCTTTCATTTATTTATTTTTTTCAATAGTTTTAGTCCCTGACATTAAATTAAAATTTCAAGTAACACTACATGAAGGTGCCGGGTGATATCACATGTAGGTGACACATGTCACTCTTGTATCTATGTCACATAATTGATGTATTGTGCTGAAATATATTTTTGTTGGAACACGCTAATACTTAGAGACTAAAACTGCTGGAAAAAGTTAAATGAGAACTAAAAATGGGCAAAATTTTTTTAGGACCTATAAGCTGAATTCCGAAATAGATAAAGTACCCAAAACTTATTTAACCAAAAATTAAATTATTGCTTTGAAGAGTCGCAATTCTAGATGTAATTAAAAAGCATGAGGTTAAAGTTGATGGTCAGCTTTATTTTACTGATTGCAGAACCAGAACAGTTTGAATTCCAAGTATTTATATAAACCAGGTCTGCTAAAGGTCAAGATTTTGTATGCAATTGGCAATGATCATCACAACTTGAAGTGTGTAATTGTGCGGAAGTTCCACTATCAATTGCATAACGATGTGACTGTAATCTTTTTAAGAAATTTCTGTTTATGCTGGTGGATGGTCTTCAGATAACAATTCCTTGGTTGGAACAAAGACTTCTGATATACCTGTTCAGAAAAAGGATGCAACTGAAATTCTAGGATCTTTATGTTTTCTTAAAGGACAAAACTTAGGTACATTTCCTTAGCTAAAACTCTATGTTCAACACTACTGAACTTGTCATTAGTCATAGGCTGCACAAAAACAAAGTGAAACTGATAATCAGTATAACTGTTCAGTTCCTGTTTGATATGTGTAACTTTTGGTATTTATTTTAGACATTCTCGACAAAGAAATGAAACAAAAATTACGAATAAATCCAATGGTATATACACACCAATTCTAGGATTCTAAAATAAAATTACTAAGGTGTAACATATAATATAATAGCAACACTATTACTTTAAGCAACTTCTTCAGTTTTTAATATTTGGCTTGCCTCATCTTTGTGTAGAAAGCAGTAAAATTTGTTAATTTACTTCTATCTACGGCAGTGTGTTAATGTCTCTGACGCTAGTTATATTCTTAAGATTGTTGAGTTTGTACCAATAGTACTACATTAATACATGACCTAATTATTAATTTGACCAGAATCTGTTTACTTTTAACATTTTGTATCACTTCAATAAACATAATTTCAATCTAATGAAGTATGAACGATTATTGTCTTTCACTCTCCCGCTCCTATTACCAAAACAATGTAATTCCAACACAAGCAATCTCATGGAATCACCATATTTCAAACTATATACACTTAGATAAAACGTTGTCTTAAACATTCTTTCTAATATTGTCTTTATTATTAACTGAAATTTATTGAAAAATCACAAATTTTTATAAGTCTCACCATTGAATTAGGAGAGACTTAATAAATGAAATACAGAATCCACAAAAGTTTCTGATTTTAATAAATTTCAGTTAATAATTGAAAGTGTTGAAAAAAGTGTCAGAATGTTGCTAGCGTTCCTAATGTTATTTTATGCTTGATGAACCCACATGCAGAATATCCCCAATGTTCAATACAAGAGCTCCATGCATGGGAGTTACATCAATCCATTGACTGACATGAAGAACTTGAAGGCCATCCATCTGGTCTTGCAAAAGTATTGTCATGAAGTTACCATCTGAGTGCTAGTTATTTCCCATAGTTAATTCAGGCTCATGACATGCTGGGTAATAGTGACATAGAAGAAGTATCCCTTCATCACAACCCTTTTCTTTGAGGTAAAAGTGATTAAGGCCAAGAGCCTTGACAGTAACTCAAACAAAGCATAAGCAAGAACCATTTTTTCCTTCGAGTATTCAATATTCAATCACAATATCTCTGCAAGTATATCAACTCATCAAGAACAAAGAAGTATCAGATAAGAGGGTCTTTAACTGCAAGAGAACTAAAATTTGGAAATAAGACTATTGGATTTATATGACTTGTATAGTTAGTTATTTTTGTTTATTTTCTAATTTCCTTGTCTTGTATATATATTGGCTTTGCCATTCTAAAATAAAATACATAGATGCATTTTTCAGTCATTCACTTTTCCTTTCTTCTTCCTCCTCTCATCATGATGTTCAACTTTATCATTCTTCAGTACCTTTGTGTGCATCTCTGTGCATGTATGTGAGTTCAACATGGTATTAGAAGAGATTATTCAATACAATCCAAGATCCATTCCCCAACACTCAAACTGCCACTCTGATTGATTTCCTTATCCACTCATGGCTGATCAAGCAAAAGACCCAAGCCAAGATGTCTCCAATCCTCTTTTTCTACATCATTCGGATGGGCCTGGCCTTGTTCTCACATCTCAACCTCTTGATCATAAAAATTACACCACCTGGAGCAGAGCAATGCAAGTTGCCCTTTCTGTGAAAAACAAATTGGCCTTCATTGATGGTACCCTCCCGAAACCTGCGATTACTGATTCAACCTTTGCTGCTTGGAATCGTGCCAATAACGTCGTCATCTCTTGGCTCTACAATTCTGTCTCCAAAGATATTATTACTAGCATCCTGTTTGCGTCTACTGCCCAAGAAATTTGGGACGATTTAAAAACAAGATTCTCAAGAAAGAATGGTCCTCGCATCTTTCAACTCCGATGCCAATTGATGTCTCTCCACCAAGGCATGGATGATATCAGCACATATTATACCAAGCTTAAGTCAATCTGGGAAGAATTATCTGGCTACAAACCAACCTTCCAATGCACCTGTGGAGGACTTCAACAACTTCAATCATTTACTGAATCTGAATATGTGATGTCATTCTTGATGGGTTTGAATGACTCCTTTTCTCAAATCCGGGGTCAAATTCTCCTTTCAGACCCCTTACCCTCCATTGAAAATTTTTTCTCTCTTGTTCTTCAAGATGAAGCCCAACGTGAAATTGCTGTCACTTCTTCTCCCCCTGTTGCTAATTCAGATAACATTGCCTTTACTGTCAACTCTTCACAACCTGCAACTAGTAGGAACAGATTCACCAAGAAAGAAAGGCCCAGGTGTGCACACTGCGACATATTGGGGCACACCAAAGATACGTGTTACAAGCTGGTTGGATATCCTCCAAATTATTTCAAGAATCGTACTACCAATACTGTGAATCAGGTTACGGGTAGCCCTGATAACGTACTTACTTCTTAGTCTTCAAATTTAACTCCTGATCAGTGTCAACAATTAATCAAATTTCTAACAAATCAAATGCAAGCTGATACTACCTTAGATGCAATTGCTACTAATGTGACAGGTATCTGTATGAATGTTGCTCTAGATAATAATTATCATACATGGATCATAGATTCTGGTGCAACCTCTCATATTTGATGTTTTAAACACTTATTTCATTCTTATACTGCCATACTGATAGACTATGGCCTAGGCTAAGGAATCCAAGAGGTGATACCTTAAAAGAACCAAGAGGAATGAGATTATCTTAAAGACATTTTGCATATATTTTGTACATAGTCTTTTGTATAGGTTATTTTTGCCTTTGTATTTGTGAGACACTTTACTTGCTTTTTCCTAGTGTTTGTATATTGTTTTTAAGGTAGGCTACTTGGAGAGTTTAGCTCCATTTAACCTCCTTAGTTGATACATTCATTTTTGTATTTTTTTAGTAAAGAAAAAGGGGTGGCATTTAGCAATGCTTGAGGGTGTGCTTAGAAATTGGGCCTGAGTTGGGCCTAGGCAAAATTTTGCATATTAGACTCATTTTGCTCCTAATTTTTCATAGATTTGATTTAGCTAGGTCTCATCATCATATGATGAACCTAACTAAACCAAACCAAGGATTTTCAAATTAATTCATGGAGCAAAATTAGTTCAAGGCCGCCTAGCTCACTTGTCTTCCTTGGCCGAAATTTCAAGCTACACTTCTTAGGTTTTGAAGCTTGCCTTGCAAGCTTCTAAACCTTAGTAGGGTAAGCTTACCTTACCATGGTTCTTAAGTGAACCATGGTCAAGGTTAGCTTCTCCTACAAGCTAGCTAAACCGTGGGAGTTTAAGTTAACCCTACCATGGTTCCTAGTGAACCATGGTTAAGGTTAGCTTCTCCTACAAGCTACCTTCCCCTATATATTTGATTTTCCTACTCTTGTACTCACTTTTGACAAATTTGAGAAATATAATCTGAATTTCTCTCCCACTCAAGAGTCACAAAAACCGAAGAGAACCCTCACTCTAAGGATTCTCTCAAAGTGCTTCTACTTTTGGCTTGGTTCCTAAAGCTTCCTTCACAAGCTTAAGGAGTGGCCGAACCTCCTTCATAGACTTCACCTCCATTGAAGCTTCTTCAAAGGAGATTTCAGAGATCTTAAGGAGTAAACCTCAAGGCATTTCGGTCCTTAGCATGGAACTCTTGAAGAAACATCAATCTACTTCAACTAGTTCCATCATTTTTGGTATCTAGAGCCTAGTGCTCTTGAGGTTTTGTTTCCAAACTTTTCTACTTGAATCCGTGTTGTATCTTCCTTCTATTACATGTCTTCTTATGTTTGCTGAATGGATCTAGATTTTATTCACACTTTGATGGATCCAAAATGTCACATAATAATTGTTTGATTCATATTTGCTTGTTCTCCTAATTCTTGAATCAAACCGGTTTTGTTGTGCTTTAGGTTCCTATACTTGTGCTTTTAATTTTGCTTGAGTCTCTTCATTCTATAACATGTGTCCGTGATTGGACAACATTCATATTGCTTAGATTTTGCTTTTGAATCAATTGTTTTGTCTTAGAAAGTCATGTGTAGTCCTTTATATGTTGAAACTTCCTAGACTAGCTTGTTTGACCTAATTTTTGTTTTGTGTTCTTGAGTCCGAAATTTTTGTGTATTTTCTTATTAAATCTGAACCTTCCTATATGTGCTTTTGCTTTACATGTTTGAGTTCTTAATTTGCTATTAGTTCTAGCAAATTTCCTAGAGTTAGGTTTCTATTATGTCATATTAAAAGTTTTGTCAAATTAAATTGTTAAACACTTTCCTATTAGGTTTTCCTTGAGTCTTGTGTAGTGGCTGAAACTTTGTGCAATTTTTTTAGCCTTAAAACAGAACCAAAACAGAGGTGTGAGTGTCTTAAATGCATGAGAAAAACAAAAGAATGAGTGCTTAAAAATTTTCTCTCAAAATAATACAAAATAGTGAAGCACTAGTTACAAAATGCATGTGAACACCTCTTGTTTTGTGTGAAATTTTTGCTGCAGTATTTTTACACTAAATCCGAGACTTCTAAGTGTTTAAAAGGCATTGAAACTCCTGAACATCAAAAGAAAATTAAGAGAAAAATATTTTGCAAAAGAAAAAGAAAGAAAATAGCAAAAGAAAAAGCCATAGGAGTGAAAATTTGGTGTTGTGTGCTCTCGGATTTGGAAAATTTTTGTGACATGTTTGCATTGGTCCAGCCATATATTTGAGTCTTATTTTGTTTTCTAATCTTAGCTTTTGATTTGTTAATCCATTCTAGTACCATTCCTAGGTTATTCTTTTGTGTGCTAGCTTTCTAAATTTGCCTTAATTTTTGCTTGTCAATTTTTGTGGAATTCTTTCTAGTCTTGTCTCATTTGTCTTCCACCAATTGGTGTAGCTATTCTAAATTGTTCTTTTTCAGTTTTACACTAATATTCCAGTCTTGAAGGTGGTTGAGTGCTTCTTAAAAGGTGTAGGAGGCCAAGGCAAAGGACATCCACTTGAAGGCTTTGGTGGTTGCTTAGGGAGTTTGTTCTCTCTTGGTGGCTAGGCTCTTGAAAACACCTAGAAGTGACTTAAGTCAAGGTTGCTTCTAAAGTGGAGTGAAAACACCTTGTGAGGCTGCAACTTGGTGGCTGGATTGGAGCAAGAAGGAGCTAAATCATTTGTGAAAATTTTTGTTAAAAATTAGTGACTAATTTTAGTGACGGAATTTTTGGTTTCTAAAACTTGTTTTTCCTTACAAAATCCGTTACTAAAATTTGTTTCTAATTAGTGGCTAATTTTTTTTCTTTGAAATTAAGTGCAGCCACTAATTTCATTTGAAAGTAAATTTACATTTCATTTGGAGTGTGAATTTGCATTTCATTTGAAGAAAATTTGAATTTGAATTTTCTTGTAATTTTTGTTTTCCAAATTTTTGTACAAGGCCTTTATTAAGGAGTGTCTTGGAGTGCCTTTGGTGTATCTCTATCTCTCCTTAAGAGTTCTCATAGTAAAACCGTGTAGTACTTGTGAGAGTGGTCCTTGAAGGTCTTTGGTACCTTTTAAGCTCTCACTTAGGTTTATTTGCTTTCAATGCCTAGTTTATGTTTTCTTGTCTTTAAGTTTTCAAGCCATTTATGTTTTAAGCAATTTATATTTTTAGTCATTTAAGTTTTCAAGCAATTTATGTTTTCTTGCTCTTTATGTATTCAAGCATCATAGAAATTGTACACTTACTTTTTTCTCATTTTTATCCCTGATAATTAATGTATGTTTACTGAACAATGTGTCTATTTATTTCTAATGTTTACTTATTTTTTCTCCAACCACCTATGTGAAGTTAATGTTATATTTAAAAGAGTAATATGTTTCCAACGAAATACTATAAAAAAATAGAGGGTAGAATAGAAAAGTAAGTAATAAATATTTTTGAAAACTAAAATATCAATCATTTTCTTAAATCCCGTGCAAAACCTTAAACGACTATGAATAAAAAACAGAAGGAGTAATATTCTCTGCACATCTACTATCTACAGCATGTATCGGTAGCTTCCTGATATTAGCCTCTGTCAACCTTGTTACCCTCAATTCATGACTTAATAGAATCTCTAACTGAAAAGTTGAGTGGTTCAGGTTGAAACCCTTGAATCTTTTTGAGGTGTGTTAGCAAACTTCCAGGTAAAGTGTTCCAGTCCAAAGTAGTGTATACCACCTGCTACATCATCAATGGGAACCGCCTCAGAAACTTCTCTCAGGTCCCTTTCTGACAATTTCACTGCTAACGCACCTAGGTTTTGATCCAGGTTCTTAATCTTGGTTGTTCCTGTAAAGACGCATAGAAATTAAGGGAAGTAATTAGGCACTTTGCTCTAAAAAGAAAAAAAGTAAATACAAAAATTTCTATAAGATTTTGGAATCATAAGATAATTTATGATTTAGGGAACACATGGAATGCAGAACTATACTGCCCATACACCCTAGACCAAGGTGTATAGTTCTTCACTTATTTGACCAGTGCACAAATTACATGACTAAAATATACTGTGTATAATAATTTGATCAGATTGACAAATAATAAGAATAAAAAAAAAAATACCATATTCATGATACTTAGGATCCTAGCTCAGAGTATCTCAAAGAGATATTGTCACTCACCAGGAATAGGTACAACATCCTCGCCTTGCTGGAGTACCCATGCTAATGCCAACTGGGCAGGAGTGGCCTTATGCTTCTTAGCAAGGGTTTCAATTCGATCATATATATTCTTATTCTTGTTCATGTTCTCGGCTTGGAAACGTGGATGTACTTTCTGATAAGTGAAATAACCATCAGAAAAAAAACATATTTTTCCAAAAGAAAAATGTATGATTTTTATACTCTTTTATGTGAGAAAAGCAAATAAAGTTGGCATACTTCAGCTTAAATACACAAGTATTTGTAACTAAATAATAGACAACAAACCAACCAATATTTAATTATATTTAATTAAAGATTTAAATTGACCACTGTTATTTGATAATTGCCACATGTTAACAATGTAAGCAGCAGAAATAGTACATGACACATGTAAATGCTAAAATGCTATACCAGGGAGCTTGTTGCAGGAACATTTTCCACAACTCCTTTGCCGCCAAAAAAGCCACGACCAAGAGGACTATATGGTACAATTCCAATACCAAGTTCCCTGTATCAATAAAGCATTAAAAAAGTGAAGTTGAGCTTACACAAATACAGCCAACAGAAACTCCACTTTTCTTGACCCTCCTTTCAAGTAGAATTGCACTGTCATGAACTTCAAGAAGAACTTGAACTAACCTGCACAGAGGAACTACCTCCTCCTCAATGTCACGAGTCCATAGAGACCACTCTATTTGCACAGCTGTGATGGGATGAACTGCGTGTGCTCTGCTAATTGTATCTGGGCTGGCTTCAGATAACCCAATATACCTCACTTTGCCCTCTTATTATTTGTAGGAAACATATGAAGAATCAATGACACAAAAATATGGAGAAGACACTTCATCTCATCCTGTAATTGATTCTGATCTTTGGTTAAAAGTTGCAGGTGAAAACAAGAAGAAAAGAGTGCATGGCATGGGACATAGCTTGGATCTTGGAACTAGTAGCCCTACCCAAGCTTCATCTCCAGAGGTTGCAGGTTCCTTTACAAATCTTATTGGAAGTATCAAGATTAATGATGATATTTTCCTTCATAACGTGCTTTACATACCTACATTCAGATTCAATCTTTTATCTCTTCTAACGTTAATCAATGAAAATTCCAGACCAGCAACTCCTCCGCTCCTACTCCTGATGTTTTTCACAATTACATCACACCCAATCTGATACACACCGAATCTTATGATGATCCTGATCCTACACCTACCATCATCAATCAAAACATTGCAGAACAACAACACATGATACCTCCTGCAACTCCCCCTGAACAACACCACCCAAGAAGGTCCAGCAGAGTTTCAATCCTCCTGGTTACCTCTCTGATTATCACTGCTACAATGTGACCACCAATAACAGTCCCCTCTATCCTATTCAAAACTCCATCAGCTATTCCAATTTATCCAAAAGTCATACACATTACCTCTGTCAAGTTTCAGCCAATTATGAACCCCAAACTTATAAGCAAGCCATCAAATTTCCTCACTGGAAGCAGGCAATACAAGATGAACTTACAGCTATGGAAGTAAATAACACCTGGTCCATTACCCCTCTTCCTCCTGACAAAAAACCTATTAGCTGCAAGTGGCTCTTCAAATTAAAGCTCAATTCAGATGGCACTATTGCCAAACATAAAGCCAGATTAGTTGCTAGAGGCTTCACTCAACAATATGGATTGGATTTTCAAGAAACTTTCTCACCAGTAGCAAAAATAACCACTCTCAAGTTACTTTTATCCCTTGCAGCATCTCAGCATTGGCACCTTGCTCAACTTGATGTCAACAATGCATTTCTAAATGGCAGCCTTGCTGAGGACATCTACATGCAAATTCCTCAAGGTTATACTCATCACATCCTTCCTACTTCCTGTGCCCCCTTAGTATGCAAGCTACACAAGTCTATATATGGCCTCAAACAAGCCTCCAGAAGTTGGTTCAATAAATTCAGCACCACACTAACATCTCAAGGATTCAACCAGTCCAAGTATGACTACACCTTGTTCACTCAAGGTACCAATTCAACATTCATTGTCATACTTGTCTATGTTGATGACATTGTTATTGCTAGTCCAAACCTTGCTGCTATCACTTCTGTCAAAGACATGCTCCACCGACACTTCAAATTAAAGGACCTAGGTGATTTAAAATTTTTCTTGGGTTTGGAACTATCCAAATCTAAGTCAGGAATTTTCATGTGTCAAAGACATTGCACTCTCTCCATTCTTGAAGACTGTGGAATGTTGGCCTGCAAACCCTCAGCTGTTCCTATGGAAGCTTCATTGAAACTACATGCTGAATCTGGCACAACACTCTCTGATCCGGGTGCATATAGAAGGCTTATAGGGAGGCTCTTATATTTAACCATTTCTAAACCAGATATTAGCTACACTGTTCACAAATTGAGTCAGTTTGTCTCTGATCCTCATTCTAGTCACATGGATGCTGCTCATATGCTATTAAGATATCTTAAACACACTGCAGGTCAAGGAATTTTATTCAAGTCCAATTCTGACACTAAACTTCATGCATATGTGGATGCAGATTGGGGTTCCTACATTGATAGTAAAAGATCCACCACTGGTTTCTGTGTTTTCTTTGGAAATTCTCTTGTTTCTTGGAAAGCTAAGTGGCAGAATGCTGTTAGCAAATCCTCCGCCGAAGCAGAATACAGATCTCTCGCATCTGTCTCTGCTGAGCTAACTTGGCTGAGGAATTTACTCACTGATTTCAACATACATATTCCATATGCTATCGTTTACTGTGACAACCAGGCTGCTATTCACATTGCTTCTAACCCCACATATCATGAAAGAACTAAACATCTTGAAATTGATCTTCATTATGTCAGGGAACAAGTGGACAAAGGTGCTCTCAAGTTAATCAGTGTCAGAAAACATCATCAACTAGCTGATATCTTCACTAAGTCCTTACCCCGTACTGCGTTTCTTAATATCTTGTCCAAGCTAGGAGTTGAGAACATATTCCTCCCATCTTGAAGGGGGGTATTGGATTTATATGACTTGTATAGTTAGTTATTTTTGTTTATTTTCTAATTTCCTTGTCTTGTATATATATTGGCTTTGCCATTCTAAAATAAAATACATAGATGCATTTTTCAGTCGTTCACTTTTCCTTTCTTCTTCCTCCTCTCATCATGATGTTCAACTTTACCATTCTTCAATACCTTTGTGTGTATCTCTGTGCATGTATGTGAGTTCAACAAAGACATTGCATATAGAAGAATAAGAACATGTTTGAATAAAACTTTTACAAAAATACTTCTAACACAAAAAAAAAAAAATTGAAAAGTGAAATACATTTTTCCATAAATTTAAATTAACTTATGTATAAGTTAATTTGTATAAAAAATCATATTAATTTCTTTAAGAAAAATATTTTTAATTTATGTATAAACTAGTTTTATGCCTATAGCTTATAGAGAGACTTTTTTTTTCTTCATATTTTTTCTTCTAAGAGTGTTTCGGAAGATATTTATTCAAATAGGTCTTAAAGCCAATAAAAATTTCCAAATAAAGAAAATTAGGGAGAAAAACAGTAATAGATTTTACTTGGTTCCATTAACAAAAATTGTAGTCAATTACATCATGTCATCATCAACTAGGTACTTCCAAAGAAATTAGTTATCCATTCATATTAAGTCCTAGCATGTGCAAAAGTGCTACTCATGTTAAAAGTAGTATTAATATTATCACAAACCTACAAACTTCAGGAAATTATTCTGCTTTGGGAGGATGAGGTGCCAAGAAAAATGCAAGTGTATCCCTCCAATCAGCAGGTGGATCTTCATAAAGTGTATAACTGGAAAATAAGAAACTTTTCTTTTGGCATCTCTAGTGTAGTACTCTTTCCTCACCTTTGCATATTGTTGGTGAAACTCACAAGTTCCTTTGATCATCTCATCCAAAACATGAGTTGGAATTCCATGATTTATAACCTGAAAAAAGCCCCACTCTTGACATGCACATCTAACTTTTAGTCTTTTACCACAACATTTTCTCTATTAATAATTTTAGAAATTATTCTTCGACAATTAGTATTTTTTTTTAATTTTTCTCGAAAGATAAAAATAAAAAATTTAGTTTGAATTTTTTACTTGTATAATTTTTTTTATCTAAATGAATTATAATAACGATCTCAAAATTTGAATTTAGAATCTTGCGTATATTGTTCAAACTCTACACTACTAAATCGATTCCAATAGTTCTAATTGTACACCTTTTAATATATCATCTTTTATTTTTATCACTAAATTTCATTAAATTTTTAAATTAAAAAAAGTTATAAATAATTTTATATTACAATTCAAATTTTAATTTATATAATTAAATATATTTGTTTATTTTGAATTTTAATAATAGATAAGTAGTGTATTTAAAAATTATTTATTATTTAAATTTTAATTATATAAAGCAAAAACTTATTATGTACAATAAACAAATTAAAATAATTAAATGAGGGGTTAAGATAATATGCACATAATTTTAGGTTTGAACTTTGTTGTCATTATTGTAATTTCGATGGATAAAAAAATAAATCCAAATATAAATTTAAGTATATAACTATATATGTATTGTCCCACTACCTAAAATCTCTACATTCATCAATGATTTAGTGAATATACATGATTATATATATATATA